GTTTAACGAGAATTTTTTTTTTTAGGTTTTATCAACGGAGAAGGCTGCAATCACTCCAGCAGTGGAGGACCTTTTTTTTTTTGGCGGCGCCGGAGATCGCGTGTCATTTCAAAAATATTTAATATTTTATTTCAAAAATTTTACTGTGTATTCTCAAAACATGTATAAATATACTCTCAAAATTTTAAATAGATGGATTCACTAGTTTTTTTTTTTTTTAATTCCCAAAAATGGCCTTTTTTTAGGTTGTCACACTAGGTGTGCCCCTTAANATAATTTTTAAAATAATTATGAACAAAAAATACTAGTATTATTGTGATAAAAGCGTGGGTGCTTTGTGCCATATTTTTCGTATATTGAGCGCCCGACGCTTTTATCACAATAATACTAGTATTTTTTGTTCATAATTATTTTAAAAATTATTTTTAACTTTTTAGTTCGATGTGCTTTAAAAGCGTGTTTTTTTAGTTTTTTAAACTATATTTATTTAAAATTAAACACTATCTAAAGATTTGCATCGAAGTGTTTTTTTTTTATAGTAATTTTAATCGCTGTCAGATATCATTATACTTGATCCAACTATGCCACGTCACCACTGTGCCGGGTTTTTTTTATATGTAAATACTCATTTTTTTTTAATAATTAGTAGTGATATCAAAATTTTAAAGTAATAGAAAAAGACCAATTTGCAATATGACAACAGTACAAAAAGTTGATTCAGATGAAAGTTCCTTTTAGTCTAGTGTATTTATTCATAAGTCAATTTTTTTTTTCATAAGTATTTTATCAAGCCCTTTAAATTTTTATATATGTTTGTCATAGAAGTAACAAAATTTACTACTGTATCATTTATTATTATTTCTACGTAAAAATTACAATATTTATTTCGTACTATATTTAATTGCTATAAAAAATATTATTCATAAATTGTACTTTTAAATTTAAGAACTACTAATTAGAATATAATTAAAGTTATAAGAGTTGCTGTTGCTTTTGCAATTATTCACCAATTTCTTACAATTAAACACTATCTACATATTTGCATAGAAGCGTTTCTTATGATAGTCATCTTAATCACCGTCAGATATCGTCTGTACTTATCCAAACAAGGCCACATCTATACTAACCACAACCCTGCTGTGCTACCGTTTTTGTTTTTATTTTATGCTGTTATAGCATTAAATAAGCAGATTTATGAAAAATGTTTCAACATAATTAATGATTAAGAATAAATTGTACTATTAATAAAATTTTAGTTTCAAAACTAGTAAACAAATTATATTTATACTTGATAGTAAATTCAAATTATTTCTATTATCATAGGTTTTTGTTACTTACAATTTTTAAAAATCAACTGCCCACTTAATTTAAATTAAGTACGTGTAATGTTATTTGGCTGAAGCAGGATGGAGTTCCACCACATAATAGCAGAATTGTAGTCGAATATTTAAATCTATTTTCCAAATAAATGGATTGGAATCCATTTATAGGATTCCAATCCATTTATTATAGGACTATAGGGGAAGTCAAAATAAAACTTTTACAATGATAAGTAATAAACACTTATAAAACAACAAAATAGTCATAGAAATCTAACAAAGTTTTACTTAACAACAACAAATAACACATTATTTAATAGTATTGCAAAAATTAATAGCAAAATCATTATCGTTCCCGTCTTTTAATTCATGTGTGAAGCGTTATGATAGAAGATTTCGCGAATCAAATTATCTCCTTGACCGATGACGATTACAGGGATCATAATCACAAAGTATAAGCAACGTATACAAATCAAATAAAATCATAGTATACGGAGTATCCCGCCAGGTTATGACATTTTTAATAACTTTTGAACTAGGGAAAATTTTAAGAAAAAATGATTTTTTTTTAAATTTGAAGTAGCAATTTGTGTTACAAACATTTTAGCGCGAGTGGGTAAAGCTACAGATCGTGTATGTACACCCTACCTCCGCGAGATACACTATGAATTGAAACGCTTGTAATTCAATCCTTAGTTGTTAATGATTTTTTTTGTAAGAATAAGGCTAAAAAATATGGTAATTTTAAAACTAATAAATATAGTTTAAAAAAACTAAAAAACACGCTTTTAAAGCACATTGAACTAAAAAGTTATAAATAATTTTTAAAATAAGCTTAAAACAATAATGAACGAAAAATACTAGTATTATTATGAAAAAAGCGTCGGGCTCATAATATAGGAAAAACGTGGTACAAATCGACCACTTTTTTTTCATAATAATACTAGTATTTTTCGTTCAATTTTGTTTTAAAAATTATTTTTAACTTTTTAGTTCAATGTGCTTTAAAAGCGTGGGTGTTTTTTAGTTTTTGAACTATATTTTTTTTACATAGATAGCTATGGTATGTATGTTTTTGGTTAAAATATTATAATATGTAATATGATTATAATCGTTATGAACTCGATCATGTTTATTGATTCTGGAGAGGGAGTCTGAGAAACGACTATCACATCCAAGGAAGGTAGTAGACGCGCAAAGTACCACCCACTCCCGCCACGTGGTGGTAGTATCGAGATATGACGACACGGGACTCATCTAACGCCCCGTAATCGAAATGATTACACTTTATATCTCTTAATGAGAGTAAAGCCTGTTATTATATAAATTTTAATAGTAATAGTATATATATATATATATANGTTATTATATAAATTTTAATAGTAATAGTATATATATATATATATATAGAAAAGCGTATATATTTTGTCGTTTAAAAGAACTAAAAATACACGCTATTAAAGCACATTAAACTAAAATTTTCAAAATAATTTTTAAATGAAGCTTAAAACAATAATGAACGAAAAATACTAGTATTATTGTGAAAAAAAGCGTGGGTACTTTGTGCCATATTTTTCGTATATTGAGCGACCGACTCTTATTTTATTCTTCAAAAGACGCTTATTCGTTAAAAAAAATAATCAAACAATAAACAAAATTCATATTGTTTCAACAAAATTTAATAATACAATAAATTTAGTTAGGTTTGTACCTAATTAATTAGCTGGCCATGAAATAATTAATTTAGTATAATTATCCTATTTGGCATTAAAAATTCAACTTTTAGAATTTCTGAAGTCCACCACCTCCATTGAGTAGGTTTGTAGACTCTACATA